GATAGATAGATAGATAGATAGATAGATAGATAGATAGATAGATAGATGGAAGGAGATGACAGAAGCTCCACATTCAGACCAGTTTTAAGTTTTCCTGCCATCTAGTGGAGGAAATTAAGTCCGTCCAATAAAAAAAATGAAAGTGCCAAGTCATCAAAACAGATTTGACATGAAAACAGCTCAAACACTAAGCTGACACCGTAAAACATTCTGCAAACAGCACTTTCTTGCCCGTTCTTTTCCAAAAAGTTGGAAGAGTTCGGGGCCTCACTGATTTCACAGCCCCCAGCTCATCTATGAGGTTGTGCACTTGTCTTGGCTGCTTAGAATCGAATTTAGAGAACGAGAATAAAGGAACACGCAGGCTTGTAAACATATAAAAATGGTGTTTTGACAGAGAGAAAGAGAGAGTGAATGACTAAAAAATCATTTTATGCAATAATAGACTAAGTCCACTTGGAGGCGACGCAATCTATTATTTCCATCTTTTAAAAAGAAGGAAGGAAACTGCAAAGTTCACGCTTACAGTGATTTGAAAGTTGGAGACATCGGCAACAAAACCTAAAATTGTTTATTTCAAATTACAGTGCAACGAGTTTCATTTTAGGTGAGCTAAGATAATCTTTCTTCATTTTAATCTGATTGACATTTTTATTGGCCTGCAGGTTTAAATGACCTATGAAGCAAAGCACTTTGGGAAACTTTGAGTTTGGATTGCATGAAACTTTGATGAATTCCCCTTTTACTGTTTTGCATAGCCACTTAAAAAGGGTGAAACCGTTTCAGAGGTTTACATTTTTAGCCCAGTCCTGCTTGATGTGGGCTGTCTGGAGAAAGCTTCTGAGATGCATGAGCTGCTCCACTTGGTTGGATCCCTCCTCGGTCTGTGGTGACGTTAAAGGGCTCAGTGTTGGAGAGCCAGACTTCAAGTAAGACCCAAAGATTTTTGGCAACATTTTTCTGACAAAACCTTCACTTTGTGACAACGAGAATTGACACTCATCTAGTTTTGACTCACTGCATTCAGCCTCATGTCTTCTCTGATGGTGGGCGTTCACACCTCAGAAAGTTGACGCTGAATTTCAATCAGATTAATCCACAGTTTTACGTCAGACACTGGGTAGTCACTGGTTAGAGTTAGAAACACTCCAACTCTAAACCGAGTTAAATCGTCCCCGCAATGTAATGCCAACTATTATCTATGTCACCAAATGAAGTAAGACTTGTTTTACTTTTATCTAGAATCAAACGGAAATTAAATTTGTCTGTACAGTAGATAAGGAAAGCCTCCACTGACTGGAAACATCAGCCACTGGTGAAGGGGAAATTCCCCTACCGCTTTCATTCTTAAATCTCACAGAGAAAAGCAGGATTTTCCCTTTTCTTTGGAACTGCATCATATTGTCTGTTGTCCCAGAAAAGGTGAGCCATGTATCTTAAAATAATCTGTTATTATCTCATAAATAAGCAGTCAGATTTTACTCTAACTGTAAAACAGTATATAACACCTTAGTCCTTGGAATAAGTGTGCATGGGTGTTTGTCTCTGGGGGGGGGGGGGGGGGGGCCCTGTGACTGGATTGGTGACCCATCAATGGATGTATCCGGCCTCCCACCCGTAAAATGGCGGATGGAAAAATATCCAATCTGAAATAACCTAAACCAAGTTACTATGAAACAGTAAATGTTTTTGTTTTTTTTCCTATCAAGAGGTGCTAAATTTGACCTATGAGTAATTCCATTTGGGGATTTCCTTTTTTCCTTTTTTAAAAAACCCTTTTTGATCGATTAAATACATTCGTAGTTCAGTAATGTTTTTCATATCATCTCATTTTTACAAACGTGGTGTGAATTGAAATAGACTGAATCCTTCTATTCTATTCTATTCTAGTCAATACCATTATTGACTGTCACAAAGATGCATTGGCACACATTTGCAGAACATGTCAGTAAAAGCAATTGGACGGTTTTAATTTTTAATCATGCACCGACATGCATGATTAAAAGCATATGCATATTTGGAAGGTATAGCTAAAAACATTGCTAGATTAATCAAACAGCAAGCTCCCTGGACTTTAAAACAAATCTCTTGTGTCCAAATGAATCACCAAACCTCAACCACCCTAAACTGATTTGTAATCAGTCTGTCTGTTTATCAGTGGAGCTGTCTGTCTTCATGTGATCTAGTTGTTGTTGGGTTGTTTTTTTTTAGATTTTTTTTTTCACTTTCACCTTATTGCGAAATATGTCAGTGACCGTTTTTTAATGTTTTTGTGAAGTATGTTTCGCAGAAATCATGAGCCGACCAATCTGACGAGCGGAAACCACAACAAACGATAATGTATGCAGCACTCACTGTGCTTTTTTGTAAAATGATATTAGATAACATGTTCAATTTCTTAATCCAACAAATATTGCAGGTCACCAAACGAACTTAGTTCATTAATGGCATGAAAAATAGAAAAAATAGCAAGAGAAAAGGTTTGAAAAATGAACATTTGGATGGATAGTTTACGGTGAATCAGGAAATCGCGGTGCCATAGCATGATTGGGATCTTTTTCTCTGCAAGTTTCATTTCTCTGACCAAGTTAGAACAGATTCAGGAAATACCCATCAGCTCGTTGGGAGAAGTGGAGCTTATAAGAAGGTTATATTTGGAGAGGAGCGCAACTTGATCGGGCCGGCTGCTGACGGTCATCATGGTGACTCCTGTGATTCTCCTGCTTTCACTTATCACAGGTAAGAAGGGCGATTGGCGGTTTCGTAGAGGGCAGCTTTCGATATTTGGCATCAGAGGGTGGCATTCCAAAGTATAATTTAACAAAGTTACTTTGCAGTATGACAGAAAGCACGTCGTAGGTGGACACTTTTTCCACCCAAAGGAAACGCGCTCCGCAGCAGCCCACATCTGGCACATAACTCATGGGCAGATTTGTACCGTTTTTTATCAGGTTTATTAATGCTATAATGCCATATGTATCATATTTGCTTCATACTGTTTCTGAAGTCTTTTGGATCTTAGACTTTTTGCATCATTCAGTGGTAAAAGCTTGGCTCAAACCCCTGTTGTGCACATTCAGATATACCTGATAACAGCCAGTAAACTAAACCAAAATATATTTTTTACTTATTGCACGCTAATTTGATCAAAATTATTTATGTTTTTTTTCTTCGTATGTTGTTGAGGGGCCAAAGAAAGACTTTAGACAAAAAAAAATCCAAATTATTTCGTATTTTTCTTGGATCAGGCTTTAAAAGGTTAAACAGACGATAGATTTACAGTGAAAAGTATTTTTAACTTCTCTTACAATCGCCTCCACGTTGTAATATAAGCCCAGCATTGAGAAAAACTGTGTAATAAAGTAATTAAAAAAAACGTTTGGAATTCAAGTTTCACTATGCACTGCTTTAGGCATGTGCCTTTCATTTAATTAAACATCTAGAAAGTGAAACTATGTCTAAATGGGACCCACATACATTGCGCCAGGGGTGGAAAGTTGTTTCACAAAGAGGTTTTAAAATGAGTGAAAGGGCCCAGAATGACTGTATGTCATATCTAGGATAAAACCTGGATAAATATTGCACCACCTTTTATCTTTATTTTGTTTTGTTTTTTAAATGAGAGTTATGTCCACAATGTGGTTCCACAAGCCAGTCCTCTTCCCATGTTTGGCTCCATGGGTTATTTGAACATGCAAGACAAAATAGCCTATAGACATGTTTGAAAGTAGTTGGGAGAGCGAATGGGATGCTAATTTGGAATTAAACTTGCACTCGTTGGCAGGTGTGTGTCCCTCAAATGTTGAAGCAGGTGAAATCGTGGTGCTCCGCTGCAGTCAGCGTCTTCACAACGGCACGTTGTGGAGAATGGACACCAACCAGGGGAGGTATGTTTTCAACCGAACGTCAGAGGCTGAGCAGAAGAAGATGGGCGTGCTACTTCATGGGAGCTGCCTTGTAATCCCTCGTGCATCCGTAGATCACCAGGGTAATTACACCTGTGATGGGCTCAGGTGGGTTCCAAATGCCTTAAAACCTACTATATATATTTATTTATTTTTTAAATGCTCAGCTTTTATATGATTGTACCAAGAATACCTCAATCACATCATGTAAAAAGATAACACATCTTTCTTTAAAATCGGAAAGGACACAGACATAGACCTTTTTTTAAAATCTATTTTATGATTTGACAGCAAAGCCGACAGCAAGACCTGGATACTGTCAGTGTACACAGCACAGTCTAAAGACATGTTCACGTATCCTCATAACTGCACTATACAGCATTCATGCCAGTTACATTGTCCTGAAGTCAACATCCCTGATAAAGATACCCCCAACATCACAGAGAAAAGATTTACATGGACCAAGGTAATAAAACAGATCCTGAGCTGAGATCAGATGAGATAACCTAAAAACCAGGAATGTCATGCATCATCTCACAGATAAATTCATTCTTTTTCTATTTTGATTTTGTTTTTGCGTTTTTTTTTTTTTTGGGAGGATGGTAAGCCATCGCAAAGTTACTTCGAGAGTTGTGAAGAGAAGAACAGTGGCGTCTACACCTGCACCAGGCAGTTTTTGTATAACGGTCAGATCTACAACAGGACCTTCAGAGTCCCACTGGAGGTCAAACCAGGTGGGAAAAAAAAAAAACACGTTCTATTCGTGCTTTTTGTTGTTCCAGGAAGCTTCCCGCTTACAAAAAAAAGCCACGTGTTCTCTTTTCACCCACAGAGGACCCTTCGACATTTTCTACAATCGGTTCACCCAAAGACGGTGAAGTATTTCAGGTGGAAGTAGGTGAGCTTTTCAAACGCGTCCTTCAAAATGGCAGACAGTTTCCGCCAAATTGTATTATTCCCTGCAATTATACTACCAACTTTGTTTTTCCCCTAGGCAAAACAGCGGTGATTGATTGCGACATCACAACAAAGTCATGTCCTGAGTCCCCGTTCTGGCTCATTGGAAACTCACCCATCAAAACCGATGTCAGCAATAGAGTTTTCTACAACTTCACGTGGTGAGAGCCGGGCTGACATTATAGCACCTTTTACAGAAAAAACCTGATGTCACCTGTCGGCACTCACTAAAAAGAGAGCTTACTCTTTGTTCTTCGCAGCAACAAGGACACAGGAAAGGCAAGGGCTTCCTTAGTTTTTAGGGAAGTGTTAGAGGAACATCTGTCCAAAAATTTCACCTGCAAATTTCAAAGTTTTGATCAACCGCCGATCTTTGTCACTGTCTTCCTCACCAGGAAAGGTTTGTATGGTTCTAACATATTCCGACTTCCTGTATAGTTTATCATGTGCTCATCTGAAATTTCTAGAGGCTGACACTGCTATTTGCTAACGTTGGTCTCTCAATCATTTCCCCACCAGCCCTCCGTTCGTACATTTCCTTGTTAAAGTGCACAGTCAGCATCGTGGTGGTGATGGCCGTGACAGCAACTATCTACGTGAAGTTTAAAATGGACATTTCTCTGTTCTTCAGAGACTCTCTTGGCTGTCAAAGGTACACTTCAGGTAGGAGTCCTATTCACTCTCATCATGAAAATACAGCAGTGGAAAGCAGATTTGCAAATGGGAAACAATAAAGCTGTGCAAAAAGGATTAATGTTTAAGAAGGCCTTTGTCCATCTGAGTCCATGGAAAGCAAAGACATAAACCAAACGAATACAGTAAACTTAGAACAGATTTGCAAATCTCCTCGGATAGATACTCAAAGTTATAAAGTAAACCGTTTGTTAAACGTGAGAAAGAGGGCTTCGCTTTGCTTCGCAAGGTATATTCAGAGAAAAATAACCAGCTTGTAGCACTGACAGAGTTTGTCGATGTCTGCTCAGATGGAAAGAGCTACGACGCCTACTTGATGTGTTATCCGAGCGATGCACATGACCGACTGAATAAAGACGAGATCGAATGGCTGGAGAATACTTTGGAGGACCGGTTTGGTTACCGTCTCTGTCTCTACGACCGGGACGTCCTGCCAGGGGACGGTGAGCTCACAGCGAACCTTCTGACCGGGTGAGTGGTCAGTGGGCCCACGTCCAGCCTGAACTCCGTCTCGTTTCAGCTGCCTCGGAGGCTGTGCTGGACTGCGTGGGACGGAGCCGGGCGGTGGTCCTGGTTCCCGGCTCCCACGTTCCCGAACTGGGATCGGGCCTGCTGATCGCCATCCACGCCGCCCTCGTGGAGAAGCAAACCCGGCTGGTTTTCGTCAAGACCGAGCAAACTGAAGCGTCAGGACCGGGCTCCTTAGCAGAGGCTTTACAAGTCCTCCGTGAGGCTGGACAGTGTGTCACCTGGAAGGGAAAGAAGTCCTCCTCCACCTTCTGGAAGCAGCTACGCTATAACCTACCGGCACCACAACCTGCACACCATATGCACTGTTGACCACAGATGGACCTGGACATTATCAGACTATTCCATCAAGTCTGGTCTTCGTATATAATTTGATACAGTTACACCATACATGGTGTTAAATATTATATAAAAATAATGCTAAATAATCCTGAACCAAGTCGTGAGCATTGTTCTAGAATGGCCCCTGATAATGTGCTACCAACTATCCTGACCAGCTGTGAACATCTGCATTATGCGGTATGCTTAGCTGCATTGTGAAAGTGTAACAAATGCTTTTTTGTATTACATCAATCAGCTCGTTATAAGGTTTTTAGGTTGCTTATTAGTTTTTGGACTAAACTGTCTATTCTACGTTTCATGGGTGTTGAACGTCATATTGTGCTACTATTTATACTGTTTTGTATAGCATACCATTCATACCATTCATTGTGTCGAAGTGATTTCTTTAACTGTACTATTTTGTTGCTAATTTGTATATTTAATCACTGAGAATTAAGAGAATTTCTGCCACTTTTTCCTCATTGTGTTGATTTTAGGCACTGTAAACTACAAGAATGCTGAAGTTAAAGACTGCTTTTAAGTTATCAGTTTTTTTACAGAGCACACCACGCTGCAGTTCCCCGACAGGTACGGGGGGGGG